CAAATGCAGACAGGGTTTTATGTTTACGCGGTGTGATGCAACGCAGCATGTAAAAAGACAGTATAAGTCTTTATAATCAGTAATTATGTCCCCACTGGATGCAACAAATGCCTCGTTTATAATGGGTTTTATTGGTTTTGTCTCGTCGCTGCGGCCGGAACAAGGCATCACAGTATGGTAATTGCGTAACATTTCCGTCACACGCTTGAGGTATTCAGCCAATCACAACACACCTCGGTTTTCAGACCGATGAGTTTTGTAAAAATCGATGCATTTCAGAAAGGCGGGGCATAGAGGAGAAACAATAATGTACAGTATGTGGAAAATAATGTTTTGTTTTTTTTTACCTTAAACCGCATAAACACATTTCATTACACCAAATACTCAAAATAATGTTCTTTTTTTAGCAACGTCATATGACCCCTTTAAAAAGGTCTTAAAATTCACACAACCATAAGTTAAGGTCTAAAAAGGTGTTCATTTGGAGCAGAAAATCTTACATTTATAAAGTCATGGAATCAGAAAAAATTTAAAATGAATAAATAAAATGTTGCTTAATCCCTCCTTGTCTAACTTGTACTAATCTGAATGACGTCTGAAACTTTGTATTACAAGCACTTCCTGTGTTTATTCGTCTCTTTATGATGAATCACTTGTTGTATTCCTCAGTTGCAAGTCGCTTTGGATAAAAGCATCTGCTAAATGAATAAATGTAAATTAAATGTTGAATACACTGCAGAAAAATTGTTTTCCTCAGTATTTTTGTTTTGTTTTCCAATACAAATATCTAGACATCCTTAATTCAAGATACAAAGTGAATATATGAGCAGATCTTCGTTCTAGTTTTAATCATAAACTCAATTCATTTTGATGACTTTCTCATAAATGTATTATTTGAAGTCATTTTGCTTCTCAAATAAAGAATCTTTAGACATTTGCACTGGAAAACAAGTCAAAAATACAGATTTAGCTTTTTTGTCAAATGAATTCAAAAGTAATGGAGATTTGTTGTAAGCTGTATTTACGTTGTACATTTAGAAACCATCCTGGCATATTTTGTTCCATAAATTTGCTTTACCTTGTCTTAAAAAGTCTTTTGACATAAAAAGTCAAAAAAAAGAAAATGCAAGTGTCATATATTGGTTTGGTTTGAAATGCTAAAACAATCAGAAATGTTCAAAAGGTTGACATTTTTCAGTGTTTTCGAAAGAAGTCTCACCAAGACTGCATTTATTTGATCAAAAATACAATAAAAACGGTAAAATTAGGAAATAATATTACAATTTAAAATAACAGTTTTCTATTTGAATATATGTTTAAATGTAATTTATTTCTGTGTTGCAAAGCTGAATTTTCAGCATCATTACTCCAGTCTTCAGTGTCACATGATCTTCAGAAATCATTCTAATATGCTGATTTGCTGCTCAAGAAACATTTCTGATTATTATCAATGTTGAAAACAGTTGTGCTGCTTCATATTTTTGTAGGAACTGTGATACATTTTATTTTTCATGATTTGAACGTTTAAAAGAGCTGCATTTATTTGAAATAGAAATCTTTTGTAACGTTATAAAGGTCTTTACTGTCACTGTTGAGCAATTTAATGCATCCTTGCCTGACTTCATACATCCACTAAAAATCACCAGTTGATTCAAACACACTGAGACTCACAAGATGTCAAATCAAGTGATATCCAAGTAAAGGTTTATCATTTATTATCATAATCAAAACAACCCGGAATTAATATCACGTTCTCCTTTGATCTCCGCAGCAACAGATTGTTCAGTATCTGAAGGACATGTTTGATCACGATAAGGTGCGTTTCACGTCCGTCCCGTCTCTGGCCGAAGACATCCTCAGTCTGTCCCACAGACGGGCGGACATCCTGGTGGGTTACCTGGGCATTGACAGTCTACCTGAGACCAACGGAGCTTTACCCAAGAGCCCCTGCCAAGCCAACAGCGGACAGCAGGACTGAGGTGCACAATACTAATCTAGACCTGTTAGTTTCGAAAGACACCAGGTCTCATTAGCTATTCGTCATCGTCGACCAATCAACGTGACTATAAAGAGCATTCGTTTAAAAGAAATTGATTATTTAGACAGATAAACCAATACTGACTCATCCGAGGTCAACCGAGGCCTTTTCTTGATCTGCTTCTGCAAATTTGCCCCCGAATATCCATCGCTGCTATTTAGACACCTTAATTTTAAACCCCCCCCCCCGACGCTTTGGAAACACTTTCTTTCCATCGTGACCTAGAGGAACTGAGTAAAACCGTCTTTTAGCCAAACTTGCAGCCTGGATTTGAGTTGCAGCTCTTCTGAATCGACCGATGCCTCTTACGCCGAAACGCTAGGTTTCGTTTGTTTTATGGGACGGTTTGCAGATTTTTGTGTGCCGTTGAGCAATTTATGTATGTGCCAATGGCCAAGTAAAGTCTTGCACTGAATCTTGGGTAGCACTGAACACAATGGAGACAAACAACCGAGACTAGATTTAGTGCAAGTCTCTCCACACGTTTTGGCAGTTTCGATGAGAGACTCGCACAGGAAGTGCATCATTCAAGAGTAAAACAGGATGTAGTGTCACATCAGCCGAGCTCACTTGTGTCCTTTGAGAGCTTCTGCAGCCCTTGTGGTTTGCTTTGTAAGTTGCATTTGTTCTCACCCTCACAACATATCAGTCACAGTGTTCATCAGAGCGATATTTAGTAGTCTGTTGGTGTGTTATATTTTCTGTCATCATACTTCGTTCATGATTTATGCACCTTGTTTTTGTCCTCCATCAATATTCAGGACTAAAATCGCCAATTACCTACAATTCTATTATATTCATTATGCATTATAAATTCAATACAGCAGAGGTATTGAGTCACAATTGTAGAGTAATTGTAACTGTAGAGCATAAATGTGCTGTAACTTGTCATTTCAGTCCTTTACGCTCTGGTTGTTAACATCTGTGCCATTGTGATCATTTCGACGCCAATGTGATTTTTGAAAACAAACAAAAAGATGCATTATTCCTTTACTCTTGAAGGCTATGGTGAAAATCACCTCAGATTCAGTTAAAGTGGATTTGTTTTTTGTTTGCGAGTTATTTATTCTATGAAATATTGTAATAGTATACATTTTTTCTATGACAATGGCACAGATGCTGTTGATAGTGTTTCAATTGCATTCATCCCATGAGAAAATGTAAACCAAGCAACTGAACAGCATCTTGCAGGCCTTTTGATTGGTCAAACATGTAGTCATGAATTTCACCAGCAAAAACATATATTAGCAAGCAAAATGCAAGTGAATAATTTTAGAAAATAAGGCAAATTCTGGTCATTTTAAAATGGATATGCATGAAATGCCTAAAACAATCCTCAAAATTGCTGAGCCTTTACGAAACTTGACCATGCTCCTTAATTGTTCACAGGAGGCGTTTGTGAAATTAGGTATTAGGATTGTTATAGCGTTTCTTTCCTCCTCATATTGACTATTTAAAACTGGTTCCGCCAGTGTTGGGTGTCTTGCACTTTATTTGTTTAAAACATATATACAGATGTTAATTTTCTCTATTTTTATCACAATAATAGAGTTGTTAATTAGCTTTTATGTAGTGCATTTGAAAAAAAAAAAATTCTGTTTCATTAAATGTAATTATTTTTTTTTTGACATGTGTAATTTATATGACAACTGAAATGTAAACGTATTTAAAATATCAAGCTGCAAATGTGAACGGTTGAGTTTTTTTTCTCATTTAAAAAGGTGGCAAAGACATTGGTTATAACTTGACAGTTGAAGTATAAGGATGATATACTTGAGGGATTATGAGTGATTGGTTGTGCCTCAATATATTCTTATTAAATGTGCTTCGAATACACAAGTGCATACACACTATTAGATCTCTGCCCTGCTTAAATTAAAATCAAAACTATATGCACCAACTTGGAAGCAAAGGTAATTCTTTATAATAACTTATAGTGATAACCTGCCAAACATATGTTTATTGGCTATTGTTAATCGGATGACCAAGATTGTGCACCTCACATCATCATAAATGGGTTTCTCCCAATTAAATTGTATTTTCAGTGTTCAAATGTGAACTTGTAGAAATGTCTGGTGTAGATATGCATGCTTGCATTAGTGCAACAAGACCAGACTGAAGGTATAAGTGGAGAAGGTAACTATTTGATTCATTTCATATCATTCCATAAACGCTGTTTATTCTGCATGAGTATGGGTGAAGACGTCATGAAATAATGTTTTGACGTGGGCTGCTATCCCTACTCGTTTAAGTTGTTAAAGCTCTGAAACAATCACTCATTGTGTCCGTGTCCCATTTTTGAATCGCATTGGTCCATCTGAAGATTATTGATAGGTATTTGATGTGATTATTAAAGATTCACCGGTGTGCTAAAAGAGTTACTGGCAGACAGTAACAGATGCTCTGATTTTTATATTAAGTTATGGTACTGTTCCTGATAGATGTGCCATTTCTCATGTAATAACTGATTCAAAGCATAGCACCCAATTGAAGACAGATGTAGGTGAGGTCTGAATGGAATTGTATGAGATGTTTTCATTGAAGAAGGTTGTTATTTCACACTACAGCTGTTGTATTTTGCACCCAGATAATTCACTAAAAAACAATGGTTTGTCTAAAATGTTTTAGCTAGAATTGGGTGTCTAACGATGGCCAAAGAGGATAAATCGTGTGGTGGAAAGCAAATCAAGTCTTTGTGTGTATTTGTGTTCTTCACTTGCCTTTGTGTGTGTGTTTGTGTGTTTTCTTGAATGTTCTTACAAATTAATGTTGTTTCAGTCATTGTATTAGTTTATTATTGAAAACTGTATTGTCATTTTGCCTTCCCTAGCCAACATAAAGTCTTTCTTTTTTTCTATATGTCTTTAAAACGTGTCATTATTATAATTTACATATCAAACTTCTCAGGAACAATGGCCACTAGGGAAAAACCATCTGAATATGACCTTTGACCCAAAGCATTTTAAACCTAGGCACATTTTAGTAGCTACATTTAATTCAGTCTCTATGGCTGAAAGTTTTTTGAAGAAAAGTAATTTTGAAATTTACAAAATATCTTCATGGAACATGATCTTTGCTTAATATCTTAATGATTTTTGACATAAAAGAAAAATCAATAATTTTGACCCATACAATGTATTTTTGGCTAATGCTACAAATATACCCGTGCTACTTATGACTGGTTTGTTTTCCAGGGTCACGTATTTTATTTTTTTACTGAATTTTTGAATTGTAATAGTTTTTCAAAAAGTATGTAATGGACCAGAGTGAGTGTGTGGCGCTGGTTGCCTTCACGTAGTTGATATCAATTGAAGAGGCTCTCCCCATTCACTTAATTTTTCTTCTTTCATTTGAATAAATCAAATTTTCATATGTCCAGCCAAACGTTTTCTGATTGGTCCATCCCCTAAGCCACACGCCTCTGATTGGCCGACTGTTCCCGTGCAGATTTTTTTTCCTTTGAGAAAGCGCTTGGTGAATGGCTGCGCGTCGTAGCAGTGTCCGGCGAATCTGATTGGGCGAATGCGTCGGGGCGTTTCAATCTGATTGGTCTAACGTGTCGGGGCGTTTCATTCTGATTGGTCGACGACCGATGCCCGGTGTCCGGGTAAGATGGCGTCGGAAGAGCAGTGCTCGGCACCACTTCGATGGCGGTCGATATCCTTAACCCACGTAGAGTATCCGGCTGGTAAGAGCATTTTTAAATCGTTGTTTTCCCCTCAAAGCCGTTCGTATCATCATACGACGCTTTATTCACGCCGCGGCGTCTGTGGCACATCGCGCAGCTGAATGGACGCGGCCAGGGCTGGGTTGCCAAATAGTGCGCTTCGCTCTGCAGGGAACGGAACGCCTGCTGCCAAATAGTGCGCTTGTGTAGTGCGCATGCGCGATGGTCCAGTTCGCTCCATAGTAGCCTTACTCAGTTTCTCAGAATATTCTCGGTTTATTGTTAAAACATGAATCTAATTGAAAGTTAAATCGATAGTTTCATGAGCAGTACTAGCACTACATGCAGGTGAATGCGTCTAATACAAGCACACGAGACCCAAATGTTCCTGTAAGTTTCTGGCAAGACTCGTAGCTCTGGTGGGTTAATCCAGTTCAATCCCGGTTGCATCACACCCTTTCTGGGTCCTGTCGTTCGCGAGGGTCTCCCTGGATTTAGAAGTATATAAACTGACCCCAAAACCCTAGAACATGTCTAAAATATACTGCGCTAATGGCAAACACAGAACCGCGTACGGCATATGAAGAAAACCAATAGCATCTTCCGTGTTTAAACTACTGTCACATAGTTAGATATGTTTGCATATTAAATTGTCGTGCATGAGATGGTAAAACATGCCAGTATAATGTATGCACGAGATAAAACAACCCTGTATATGTGCAGCTTGGCAAATGCAATGTTGGCTTTACATGCAGTCAACCTTTATATATGCATATGTGAGAAATGGTTCTCTGTTGGTTGTGAAATGGCCCACTTTTAGTGCTTTGTGGTCAGGGGAAGGTTTTAAATACAATCCGAGACAGTTCTTCTGGAATTCTCTGCCATGCATGGACTAATCTTTAGTGTAGTTCATTACTAATTCCTGCACTTTATCTGTTCATAATTTCTCTGATCATTATGCATTTACTCATGATTTGAATTGAAGCTGTTTTGCAGTTTACAGGACCTCATTTTTTGTATGTTTAGTTATTATGCTTTTTCCGCTATTTAAGGAAAGGTTTTTCTCATTTTGTTTATACCGCTTTAAAATCACAAGACAAGAAAAAGAGAACTACTCACTGCTCTTAAGTGTGTTTTTATTAATTATGTAAAACATTACTACAAAAATGTAAAACTTTTATATATATATATATATATATATATATTATTATTATTATTTTTTTTTTTTTTTTTTAAGTGCCTTTTAACAATTTTGGATAAGCAAGATTTTTTTTTTTCAAAGAAATCCAATTTTTGTATTTATCTGAATTTATTTGATCAGAAAAACGGAACATTTTTTATTCTGGATTTTTATCTTGCTTTATAGTTAAAAAGTTGGGGGAAAAAAACGACGTAGTTCCATAATATGACTCTTTTATTGTCACATGACCTGTTTGTTGTGTGTTTACATTCACAACAAAAAATATCACAATTAAGATATTTGTAAAAAGCATTCGTGTTCTCATAGAACTTGTAATCACAACGTTTACAAGCAATTTTCCGACTTGTACCGTCTGACCGCTGTAAAATGTAATTAAACGGTTATTTCATAATATTTAAAATAACGCCATACAGAGCACAGACATAATAACTATCTAATGTCCTTCTACATAAACTACGTTTATTAAGACATTTGCATAATGACTGTAACTTTTTGTATTGTGTTTTTTCTACTGATTACTGAAATTACACATTTTGGCTTTTAAGTTGTGATAAAAACAGAAGTAGCGACAGATATTTTGTTCTGTATTGTGATGTACATCAGAGTGTAACGGATTATCAAAATAGAAAAAATGTAGGGCGGCATTTATTTCTATGCTGCGTTTGTTGATTGGATGTTGAGATGTGGGCGTGGCCCTGAAAAGTGGATGCAGATGAAAGTGAACTTGTGGGGGAGGAGTTTAAGACGACTAAATGATTGGATAAGTCCTGCTTACATCGTTTTCACCACAAGTTCCAGTTATCAAATTTAAATTAAACATTATAATGACCAAAAAAAAAAAAGAAGATAGGCCTACACATGCATGGATGAATGGTTCACAACATGATCTATAACATGCATTTAGAAAATAGATGGGGAGAGTTTTTCATTCCAACTTTTTTTAGTGCTTCCGCTATTTTAATGCATAATTCCGAGTTTAAGGAAGTGAACAGCTCTGAGTCGAATGTCCCAGGTTGTTAGTAATTAAAGTAATTGTGACATGGTGTGAATGCACCATTTAATTCAATTGAGTAGTATCCATTTATCATGCCATCTCAGAAATAAACATTTTAATCCAAGTTTGTGTAAATATGTCTGACTTTTGGCAGTTTGGTTTAATGAGTCCGTTGCATACCGCAGAGTAGCTGTTCTGAACGGAACCCTAGTTTGTTTTGACAGGCTCTGTGTGCAAAGAAGAAGGATTCTAAGACTACCTTTACACGACAACGATGTAGTCAAAAATGGAAAAGCGTTTCCTTGCGTTTTTAAAAAGTTTCATGTATACACGACAACGTTTTCAAAACAATTCACGTTTACACACATCCGCGAAAATGGACAAAAACGCTGTATTACGTATGCCAGGCCAGTAGTTGGCGCTGTCACCTTGTTAGTAAACAGTATCTGTAGGGAAGTGACGATTATATGTTGTATATGATGCGTCTCCGCTGTTGGTTGTAATATTGGTGAAGTAAATCCACACTTTGCTGAAGAAGCGTTAGCAAACTCTTGAGCAGCAACAACAGTACCATGTACTCCACCATTGTTGTGTATGTTTGTTCGTGCTTGCCTTTAAAATAGACCCGTACTGTGCATGTCTACATACCTAACACGTACTACACACGCGCATGACGTCACTGTTTTCGAAGATTTTTGTTTTGGGTGTTTACACGGAAACGATAACCGTGGCGTTTTCAAAAACCTGCACTTTGAAACCCGTTTTCAAAAATATTCGTTTTCGTGCTGCGTTCAAGTCCTCCTGGGACGTTCGTACTTACGAGTTGACAAGTCGTAATTACGACGTCAGGTGCGTTCAAGTCAGTCTAGTCGGCACAAGATGGCGGTGTACCTTCTTTTAATAAATTACAAGAAAATACAACAGGGTCTGCATTTTTTTACTTGGATTTCATTAACTAGCTGCGTAACAAAAACATGACCAATTTAAGTTTATAGGACAACTAAACTATCAATTTAAACAAAAATTTACCTTCAACTACAGACGTTGCATCCATCGATTCCGCCATGTTTCTCATTGACACGCCCCCAACTCGGAAACTCGGGGCTTAAAGAAAATTGAGTTTCCTACTCGTAATAATGACTTTGTGGTGGTGTTCATGTGCGTTCAACTCGTAAATACGATCTATCCGACATGACTTGAACGCACCATTACTCCCCAAAACGCTGTTGTTGTGCAAACGAACAGGCAAAATGCATAAAAAGTTTCCCGTTTTTGGCTGAAAATGTTGTCATGTAAACGGCCCCTAAATTGCTAAGTCTTGTGCTATTTGTTTGTCCAGGTGATCTGACGGGGCAGGTATTGGCCTGCATGAGCCTGTTGCCCATCGCGATCCTCGTCGGATTCGTCACTCTGATCGTCTTTAAGCGAGAGCTACATACGGTGAGTCACACGGCGTCACAACCCAGCAGGGTATAGGATAAAATCCCAAACTGCATACTACCTTGTTCTCATTACGCTTTTCATCCCTTGTGTGCGTTCCCTCTCTCAGATCTCTTTTTTTGGAGGTTTGATCATGAACGAGGGGTTAAACTGGCTGCTCAAACACATTCTACAGGAGCCTCGGCCGTGTGGAGGTAAGCATCGTCATCGGCGTGTTTATGTAGACCGCCGTGTGAGTTTTTCCGCCACAAAACGCATGTAGAAACAAAACAAACTGTGCTTTATTGATTTACATGTCGGTCTGAGTAGGTGGTTCTTGGCCAGAATAGTCTGCAAAACTGGACCAGACTTTATGCCAATAGACACAATACTGGCAATACAAGACCGTGCTCAAAAACACAATAGGTAGTTCATGAACTAACCCTGGGGCTTGACCTGCAACCTGTCAAGATACCAGCCCAGATTGTTAAGCTTTATGCTGCAGCACCATTCAGTGAGGTTTAGTGAGATCAGCCCATCCAGTCGACCTAGTTCATATCTTGGCAGTCTGATAACAAAAAGCACCTGCAATCTGTTAAAAACAACTAACGGAAGACACAGTACATGCTTGGTTAAATTCAAGGGGCACATTCAAACACATTATTAATTTAGCTCAGCGATATTAATACAATCTAGGCTATGATCTAGATCACAGTTGTGACTGCAACAGTGTTATTTTAGTATCATTTACTATTATATTTCTTGCTAATATTTTGAATTAAATCTTATTTTTATATTTTCTGTTTTGACTTGAATTTTAGCTAAAGTTTTAGAGTTTTTATTAAATTTTTACTTAAATTACTTTTAATTTATTTAGTTTTAGATATGTTTTAGTACTTCATGTTGAACTAAATGAAAATTAAAAATGCTGCCTTGGCAACTAGCAACATTTGGTGTGAAAACAATTGAAAGTAAATTTCATAAGCAAGAAATGACTAGTAATACTTTGATTTAAATGTGTAATTTTGAAGTAGAAAAACTGAAATGGTGTATATATTTTTTTTGTTGTTGTTGTAAAATTCACTTGAGTAATCTCATTTACAACTTTGAAAAATAGTTTTTTTACAACAGAGTTGCATATTTTTTTATTTTTTTATTTTTTAAGTAATGAGAGTTGGGTTTACTTTTACTTAATGATAATAACGCTGGACCGTGACTCAGTTTCTTGTAGCTGTTCTGATTTTTGTCTAACTAAAAAAATCTTAGTTTGGTGGGATGGTTGACTCTAACTCTTTATTACTTCACAAGTTAGTTCATAACTAGTACCTGATGTCTCTGATATTTAGTGAATTTACTGAATTGTGTGTCATGTCTCATTACCAGGAGGTCACACCTCAGTCACGACAGAGTACGGGATGCCTTCCAGTCACTCTCAGTTCATCTGGTTTTTTGTTGTATACTTTTTTCTTTTTCTTTATTTAAGGTAAGACTTTCTCTTTTTCATTTATAACATTTTACTAAAGTCAAAAAGAACAGAAAGGTGAACTTCTCGCTGCTCTTAGTTGTGTTTAATACTATTTACTTGGAAAAACTACTGGAAAACAACTTTATTTACATTAATATATTTATACATTGCCATTCAAAAGTTTGGGATCAGAAAGAGGTCTCTTCTGCTCCCAAGGCTGCATTTATTTGATCAAAAAATAAAGTAAAAACAGCAAAATTATAAAAAAAAAATATAACCGTTTTCTATGGGAATATATTGAAAATGTAATTTGTTCCTGTGATCAAATCTGAAATTTCAGCATCATTACTCCAGTCTTTATATCAGCATATCAGAAATCATTCTAATATGCTGATTTGCTGCTCAAGAAACATTTATGATTAGTATCAGTGTTGAAAACAGTTGTGCTGCCCAATATTTTTGTGGAAACTGATTCAGGATTCTTTGATGAATGGAATATATAATATATATATTTGAATCAAAATGATAGATTTTTGTCTTTTTCTCCAGAATGCATCAGACGAACAATGCCAGGTGTGTTGAACTATTATGGCGGCATATACTGTCCATCACTCTACTGGCAGTGGCTCTGTTCGTTTCATACAGCAGGTAATGAGTGTTTTTTTTTCTTTAAGTAAGTGCAGTAGTTGAGTCTTACTGTATTTCGAATGCATTGCTCATGTTTGTCCTCATAGAGTCTACCTCCTGTACCACACCTGGAGTCAGGTGATTTATGGGGGTGTGGCCGGGATGGTGATGGGAGTGGTTTGGTTTTTTATCACCCAAGAAGTGCTGACGCCGCTCTTTCCCAAGATAGCAGCCTGGTAATGATGCAAGCACATGCACAGATGTTCATTTACAAAGTCACTTACACACACAGAGCTCTATTTTAAGTATCTGTGTTTCTCTTTCTCGCCTCAGGCCAATCTCAGAGTTTTTTCTGGTGAGAGATACAAGTCTCATTCCCAACATCCTGTGGTTTGAATACACAGTAACCAGATCAGAAGCCAGGTAAACTCACCTACATACAGCATCTACTGCTAAATATCAGGCCGAGGGTGTTTCACATGAGTCTTCTGGGCTATTTTTATAGTCATTTTATGTTACTTTCATGTCCTTTTTGTCACTCAACAGAGTAGTAACTAGGTCCGGATGTTGTCAAATTTTTTGATTGATGACTTTGACCTTTAACCCCTCCCTAAGGGATTAACCTCATGACCTTTTAATGATCTCCAGATGTGATATGCCATCTGTTTTGTAATATATCTGGATTATGTGACCTCCGGCATGAAATAAGAGAATGTTTAAATTGGCTTTTAATGATCGCCAGATGTGCTATGCCATCTGTTTATAATATAGATCAGTTATGGGCAAACTTGGCCCTTCCAGGCCACTTTCCTTCAGAGTTTAGCTCCAACCCTAATCAAACACACCTGAACCAGCTAATTATTGTCTTCAAGACTACTAGAAGGTTACAGGCAGGTGATTTTTATCAGGGTTGGATCAAATCTCTGCAGGAAAGTGGCCTGGAAGGGCCAAGTTTGCCCATCACTGATATACTGTAGATGGATAACCAAGGTTGACCTGCGACCTCCGCGGGTGAAACATGAGTTGTGTTTAAATTGGCAGTGTCAAAGGTCAAAATTGAAGATTTCAAGTATGTTTTTTAACTTTTCGTCCGGACATCTGTGCACCACATGTGCGTGGAATCGGGTAGCACGCCATCCATCCACCATTTTGGTCAGTCTACATGGATGTGAGAAAGAGATATTGGTTTAAGGACAATATACAAAATAAGTAAAAGAATAAAAAAAATTCAAGAGATCAAAGCATATTGTGTATATGTCTCTCTCAAGTTCAAGTTGCTTTATTGGCATGACGTGTGTGTTACAGTATTGTCAAAGCATTTTAGATGTGTAAAATACAGAATATAATTACACCACCAAAGTAAAAAAGGAGACAATAAATGAGAAAATTAATTTTAAAATACAATAAAATAAAAATAACTCTCTCTCACACACACAGACATATTCTGGCTGTTTACTGATTCTCAACGTTATAATGAAATAAAAATAAAGTATTAAAAACTTAGCTTAATGAATAAAATAAATCAATAAAAATAAACTTTGAGCATAATGAAAAATGACTTGCATTTTTCAGGGAGGTTGAGAAATGACATCTTTACACAATGGCAGCGGTGCGTCGAATAAAAAGTTTGCAAATAGTTGAAACGGAATTTTAAAATCTCGGAGTACAGAGAGCTTTTTTACATGTCTAGCTCATAGAGTGAAAATGGGAGGCAGTCGGGGGAGTGGAACAACGCGCGCGCGCACACACACACACACATACACACACACACACACTAGAGGTCTGCACAGGCTTTAAACTGAAGCCCGAACCCGACCCGTACCCGAGGTCGTCTGACCCAACCCGACCCGAGCAGCACAGTTCAATTTAGAGCCCGAACCCGAAATCTTTTTTTTTTTTTTTTTCACAACGAATAGCCAATTAAAAAAAAAAAATGCTGTATTTCACGATTGCATGCCACGGTCAGTAAACAAATACATGTAAAGAAACAGAGTCATTAAGGCTCGGCCAGTTCACAAGGCAAAAGAAAAAACACTTACCAATTATGAAAGTTTATGAACATCAGGTGCCTCGGTCACATAAATTCTGCAGAGTTTTTGAATGGTTGTATACGACAAGACGATAATTCTTCCATCGTGCAAATTATGGTCTTTTTCATCAGTTAAGGCTCGTTAGCATTCGGCGTGCTTTAAATCAGACACAGAGATGCAGTGCGGTAAGATCGCATTTATTTTAATTAATTAATTATATCATTTATTTGAATTAGCGAGAGAGAGAGAGAGAGGGATGAAAGTTGCGTGTGTGAACCTGCGTCTGCGCGCCTCTCTCTACAAGCAATGAGGCTTAGTTACTTCAAAAACAGCAATTTTACCCCCTCATTGCAGAGAAATATAAAGTTGCGAGTCAGTAGCCTGTCGAAGCTATTTTACTAATAAAAGTTTCCGTGCTGTTGTTGTTGTCGTGTGCACTAATGTGTGTGCTTGCGTCTATGAAAGCAACGTAGCCTAGGCTACTGCATATAGTTTTAGTTTAGCTATAAGCCCAAGCCCGAGCCCGACCTGAACCCGAAGCTATTCATTAAACATTAACCCGAGCCCTACGGGTCCCGAAATACTTTTGGGTTGGGTTGGGGTTAATGTTTAATGAATAGCTTCGGGTAGCAGACCTCTAACACACACACACTTATTTCATGGCAGAGGTCACAGGTTAATTACGGTAATCCAGATATATTACAAAACAGATGGCATATCACATCTGGAGATCATTAAAAGGTCATGAGGTTAATCCCTTAGGGAGGGGTTAAAGGTCAAAGTCAAGACATAACGTCCGGACCAGTTAATACTCAATAAATTATTTTTCATTTAATTTATATTTACATTTTACACATTTGCCAGACTCTTTTATCCAAAGCCTTGTTCATTGCATTCAAGGCACATACTTTATCAGTTGCGTTCTCTGGCAAGCGAACCCATAACCTTAGCATTGCTCTACTGTTTGAGCAACAAGACAGCAGATATTTCTGGCACTTTCCAAAAAGGATACAAAATAAGACCTGAAAGACTTATGATGTATTCACACCAGATAAGTCTGCTAGTTCACTTGCTTTGGTGAACCTCATGCAAGCAATGAGGCTTAGTTACTTCAAAAACAAGGAAATGACCAAATACAATGTTGATTTTTTTTTTCTTGTCTGGTGCGGTTCGCTTTCACACTGCCCTTTTTGCAAGTGAACCAGAAATTGTAAACAAAACCACACGTGCTAAGGTCATCCATTCATTGGACAGAAACTCTCAAGCATGCTGGGAAAAACAGGAAGTGCAACACATCTTTCGGAACTGTAAAGGATCTACTTTTATTTGTGTGCACTCACAATGTAAAGAAAACGTTGTGTTTTTGTAAAATAAAGAAAACAAATGGGATGCGCTTGCCATCTTGAACAGGAGCGCTTCAAATAAATGCAATGAAACTCAGCAAATATTTTCCTTACAGACATGATGAATATATCTATAGAAAGCTTTAAGTGACTACAAAACGAAATAATTCAATTCAAATCCAAAACAAAAACTCTCATTATGTAATCCGTAAAGATGCATTTCTCTCTAAAGGCGCGTCCAATGAGATGGTGGCGAGTCAGGATTGTCAACTTCATCTTTGCGACACTGACTCAAAAAACACTAGTTTATTATGTTAATAAAAAAATAAGTTAAGTATAGGTGACTTGTTAGATTATAGGCTAACTTGTTTGTTGCGTTATCCTAGTAAAAAGTGCCTTCTAAACTTTTACTTTTGTCATCTTCTCATACAGAAACAGACAACGAAAGCTGGGAACGAAGCTTCAGTGATTTTCTGCGAAACCCAGTGAAAACTGACAGAAAGGACCAAACACACACATACACACACACACAAACACACACACTGGAGTTTCATAGTCTGGACTGTTCTGGTTGATGTGAACGCGCAGAACAGTGTACTTGTGGACCAAAGGAGCGAGTTCGTATCGCAGGCGTGACCGTTATCACATGACCCAACCGTTCGCACGACAACATGGCCTTCTCCTCCCCCTGTCCTTAGGCTGCCCCTGCGCTCCTAATGCATGCGGACCGTGCAAGAGACAAAAACTATTTAATGACAAATGTAATATATATTTTATTCATTACCATTCACAGGGAAGATCTTAACAGCGGCGTGAAGGAGGGAAGAGGTGGAAGGGAAAGAAAGAGAGTTTTACGACGTGACAAACCTATCAGCATGGCATTACTTTTATTTAAAAGGACCAGGGAAAGGAATGCTGGGTAATAAAAACAGGAGAGGAGGAGGAGGAGGAGGAGGAGGAGGGGAGGAATGCAGACGCAAATGCAACACAGAGGAGGGTGGGGGGGATGAAAATAGCTTTTGCTCGTTTGTATATCATAAAAGACATAAATACTCATCGCAAAATATGTCCAGGTCACATTTCACCCCAAAATAATAAAAAAAGAAATGTAAGTCTATTTTTAGGGCATTTATGTTTGCATTTGTGACGTTTTCATTTTATTATCAAATTCTCATTAACGTCATGAGTCCAGACAGTTTGCTTTTTTTATTATTTTATTTTATTTTTGTCATAAATTGTTACCATGTAAAATCTCTTAATGGTTTCATTTTCTTTTGGCAAAATAAATACTTATTTTTCAATTTTGAGGTGAAACACATGGAAATTGATTCTGCGATGGAATGTAATTTTTTTTTTTTTCAGCACAAATCTGACATTTTTTCCTAAGAATTGCAAGTTTACATCTCTCAGTTCAGACTTTTTTGTACAAATTATTAAATTCTGAGTTTATACCTCGCAATTCTGCGATTTTATATATATATATATATATATATGTTCATACACACACCTGACTTTTTTCCCGAAGAATTGCAAGTTTATATCTCAGTTCAACGAGTTTACATCAAACAGCTCTCCCTCTTTCCTTGCATCTCTGATGATTACTTGCAATTCTGAGTTTTGCAAGGAAATTGAAAAAGGAATTGCAAGGAAAAAGTTGGAAATTACCGTTTTATGTTTTATTCTGTGGCGGAAATGGGCTTCCATAGAAACATGACCCTGGCAGGTTATTCATCTTAGATAAAAAGTGTAATGTAAACTAAAATAATTTGCACTTTATGAATTTGACTTTTAAACCAATTATATTAACACTATTTTTTTTAAATGATGAATTGTTTCTGCTCTTTGCTGGCTCTTTTTGTTTTAAAGTTTGTCCACCAACAGACGATATCCTCCAGGTCTTGAGCATAAAGGCATTGCAGAACATGGTGTTGTTACAACTAGTTCCAGATTAGTTTGTCTCAAATGGTGCTGGGAACAAAATTAGGTCATGGGAACAAATTTAGTGCCTGTTTTTAGTCAGAATGATGTACTTTTGTTTCAACCCCATTTGCATTATGTTGTGTTAGACTTGTGATCCGATAACACATTTTTCAGATTCATTGGGCCTTATGTCAGCTGATGGCTCCACTGCACGATGTTTGTTTCCATGTGCAGATGACATGGAAAAATAATAATTAAAACATCATTTCTTTTTTTATTAATGCCAATCAACATCACAAAGGATGCAGTTCTGATGGGACAGGAAAATAATGCTCAGTTTTTTATATGAACATTTATTGTATTTTTTTTCCTATTTCTGAACCATTTGATGTGGACAGGTTGTCGGTTTTCACACCTGAACTCACTGCTCTGATTTTCCCATAATACCACTTTTGAGTATATATGGACGCCTTTGCTACTGCTACAACATGATTACATGACAAATGGAAATACGAAAAGGAAAAAAATAATCCGAACCCAAACCTCAGGTTGAACTCGAGCATGTACCGAGGCCTGTTCTTTTAGGTTGATGTAGAAACAGTCTGTGACGGGGTGTTTATATAAAGGGAAGAGAGGTTATTACATAACTCGAAGATGATCCTCTCTTTTATCATGTGTAATTCATATCAGGCTGAATAAAAAACAAAATATGTTTATGTATGAACTGTTGCACTTATTTGTGTCCGTCTGAGCAAATGTGGATGTTGATTTCGTGTTTAGTAGCAAAATTAATTGATTTATTGTGTATTATCAATTCCTAAAGTTATTTTTCTTCAGTTTTAATTATTTTGTTATTTCACCATTTATTTAAGAAATACATGTACTGTATTTTATTAACTACAACACTATAGTGTCGATATACATTAAAATGAATGCTTGAATATTATTTTAAATTATTAATGTACCAATACTTATTTAATTAACAATTGTATTCTAAATATGTTTATGTATGAACTGTTGCACTTATTTGTGTCCGTCTGAGCAAATGTGGATGTTGATTTCGTGTTTAGTAGCAAAATTAATTGATTTATTGTGTATTATCAATTCCTAAAGTTATTTTTCTTCAGTTTTAATTATTTTGTTATTTCACCATTTATTTAAGAAATATATGTACTGTATTTTATTAACTACAACACTATAGTGTCGATATACATTAAAATGAATGCTTGAATATTATTTTAAATTATTAATGTACCAATACTTATTTAATTAACAATTGTATTCATTTTAATAGCTTAAATCAACTTAATATAATTCAAAACTATTATTTCAACCTAAGCTAAACTCAAATCAAATTCAGAACTATGTTAAATGCCACATAATATTCAGTTTTGTTAAATGACACTTGTCAATAATTCTAGTTTACACAATTCAAGTTTAAATAGGTTTGTCAAATTATATGCTCCATAAGCTGCTCCTTGAACAATTATATATATACAGTGGGTACGGAAAGTATTCAGACCCCCTTAAATTTTTCACTCCGTTATATTGCAGCCATTTGCTAAAATCATTCGTTAATTTTTTTTCCTCATTAATGTACACACAGCGTGTTTTTCTGTCAGTGTGGGGTGCTGTGTGTACATTAATGAGGAAAAAATGAACTTAAATGATTTTAGCATATGGCTGCAATATAACAAAGAGTGAAAAATTTAAGGGGGTCTGAATACTTTCCGTACCCACTGTATATACACGTGTATATATGTATATGTGTGTATAGGTGTGTGTATATGTGTGTGTATATATATATATATACATATATAACTCTTCAGCTTGCGCGTTATTTCGCAGCTTTATGGTCTTAACGCAAGCCCTTCATTTTTCGATTTTCGACTGCGCAGGCGCACTGGACAGACCCGCCCCCAGCATTACGTCACTGCAGCGCGACTCGGCGGTAGGCGGGTTTTTAGTGGAGAGCAGAATCGAGAGAAAGAGACCATGTAAAACACTGTTGAGTGGATTTAAGGTATTTACAGCCGTGTCATTGTGGATTTGAGATGAAACAGCGCTGAAAGACTCAAAGTTTCCTCCGTCGGAGTTTTGCGGGTAACCCGTTTGTTGTTTTTTTGGTTGCGTTTGAATCCATTCCTCATGTTTACTTTGTTTACTCATGTTCATGTTTACCTCATGTTTACTTAAGTCCTCATGACTTTTTGTGGCGCTCACTCGTCCTCCTGCAGGGACCTCAGTGTTTATGGCTTTGTGACGCCTCGAGTTAAAAAGTCAACGCTCTGTTTTGTCTGTGTTAATGTGGCGTCTTTTGTTTGGCAGTTCCCTGACGCCCTTCAGCTTCTACTTTCTTGATAGTGTGGACAATAGAAACATTTGTGTAAATGAAATGCTATCATTGTTATGGTTTGGGTAGTGAGTGCATGTTGGCTCTGCGCTCTTGACTCTGGGATGGCTTTAGTTTGTGTAAATCAGAGCAGAAATCACCCACGGTGCAATCTGATCAGTTTCGTTTCTTCTGTTCGTATAATCCTAGTAAGGGAACCAAAGGAGTTTCATAGCCATTTCAGTTTCTCATCATTTAAAAAAAATTATAGTTTATGTTCATATAGAAAACAATATGTACTTGCAGCTGAACACTATTATAGTTTATACACCCTTGTTGTGCTGTATGCATAATATAATCTTTGTACAAACATACAATGGAGGCTGCAGAACAGGCATATTATTGACCTTGGTTTGTATACTTATTAGACGCAGATTTCCACTGTGTGGGAACACTTTTGTCTTATCTTTTGGCTGTTTTGAGCACACACAAAACACACTACTGTGAACTCAAACCTGTATTGAACACACACACACACACTAGTGTGAACTCACACCTGGGGAAGTGGGCAGCCATTTGCTGTGGCTCCCGAGGAGCAATTTGGGGGTTGGTGCCTTGCTCATGTGCTCCAGAGCACCTCAGTCGTGGTGTTGAGTGGAACAGAGCACTATTCATTCACTTCCCCCACATACATTTCCTTCCGGTACAGAGACATGAACCCGCCAAGCTGCAACCTTCAGATTACAAGACTGAATCTAATCATCTTTCTTTTCTCTCTTTCTTCTCTCTCTCTTTTCTCTCTCTGTCTTTCTTGCTTTCTGTCTCTTTCTTTTTTTTTTCTTTTTCATTCTGGACCCTGGACCATAAAACCAGTCATAAGGGTCAATTTTTTGAAATTGAGATTTATACATCATCTGAAAGCTGAATAAATAAGCTTTCCATTGATGTATGGTTTGTTAGGATAAGACAATATTTGATCGAGATGCAACTATTTGAAAATCTGGAATCTGAGGGTGCAAAAAAATCAACATATTGAGAAAATTGCCTTTAAAGGGATAGTTATGCTCAGAGCCTCGATCATAGCATTATAACTAGGGTTGGGTACCGAAACCCAGTACCTATGTAACTGGTATGTACTACAGAATCAGAACGCAGATTTCGGTGTCTCATTTCGGTGTAGAGGTCTGCATCGCGGGACCCGACCAGATTTTTTGCACCACGGGATTAAATTCCAGAATAAAACCGTAGCCCCTCACTGCAGAACAAAGATCCAGGGGGCGGGGTTGGATCCACTTCTAGGGGGTGGAGATTGATAGGTTTAGGGGTGGAGATGGGTGGGTTTAGGGATCAGGGGGTGGAGACGGGTAGGTTTAGGTGTATGTAAGGTGGGAGGAGTTGGATCTGGATCCAACCTCGCCCCCTGGTCCTTGTGTTCTGCAGTGAAGACCATCTCGAATAAAACGCGGTAGCGGTCGGTAACTGGTGTAATTTGAACGGGAGCGGGCGGACTAACAATATCCCCTTCCCGACGTCCATTTAGAACAGCCTATCTGCGCTTTATTCTTATTGACCACCGGTACAGCTTGCGCTCAGGACTGTTATGCACGCGCTGCACGCATGCTTTAAACGTCACGCGTTTTATTTGTGTGGTCTGTGCACAGCATAACGATGCTCAGAACAGGCTGTACCGGTGGTAAATATACGGCCCTCAGACAGAGCAGGCAGGTTGTCGATGAGTGACAGAGCAGAATAAGGATGGAGCAAAGTGTGGATGTGCTGTCCTTGAAGGACGTACAACTCGGTTTTGTTTATATTTTGCTTAGCCTATAATTTTAAATGAAAGATGTCGTATTTATTTATTTTTCTCTGCGACACTTTTCCTCACAATGTGTTTTTATTAAAATATCCAAAACCCACTAGAACAGTGTTATATATTTTGCTGACTTGTGTACTTACATTATCACATTATCCATTTTTTTTCTCTCTGCGACACTTTTTCCCTATTGTGTTGTCAATGTTAAACGAATTGTATCCTGACAAGGTGAATAAAAATAAGAACATTTTGATTTTCTCTGACACTTTTTTTCCCTACTGTGTTGCATAAAATATTAAACAAATCTTGTGTCTTAAAGGCACAATGTGTAAGATTTTTTTTATTAAAATATCCAAAACCCACTAGAACAGTGTTATATATTTTGCTGACTTGTGTACTTACATTATCCCAAATGTTTCGAAGAATGTTTAAATCCAGAGAAATAAGCAATTTTAACTAGTGACACGGGACGTGTCCGTAGTGTCATTGTGTCGCCTGCCAATGACGTCATACACCCTCACACCCTCGATTTGTTTTGTGGAAAACATGGAAACACCAAAGACGCTTTAATATGTTGTGCGTTTTAATAGACAGGTGACCAGGTGACGGAGTAGCATTACAACTTTCAAAATGCATATAGTATGATAAAACGGCGCTGCTTTACCCCACATACGCACGACCGGAAGGAGCAAAGCAGTCGACTGTGGCATAATAAAAGCTCCGCTGCTTTCGAGCCGTGTGTCGCGCTCGTTCAGCGGCCTCGTTTTGCTTCAGCGGCTTTCAGCCTCACCCTGCTTCATTCTACTACGTTAATAAATCATTAGCTCATCCATGAACATGATTTCTGCCTGAGTCCCATCGGATTGCGTCGGCTGTGCGGATGAAGACCACAACTCCCATGATTCCACACTCAGTCACGGCATCATCAAACTAAGCCTTTGTCTATTTGTATATTTTGAATACGCGCCATCTAGGTGAAAATTACATATTGTGCCTTTTAAGATAATTCATATAAATTTAAGTCAAATTCAATAAATTCAAGACTCTTGACAAGACGAATAAAATAACATACAATTTTGTGCAGACTACACTTTTATTTGTCAGCCTATCACTCTTTCTTTCAGTAGCGGAAATTTAAATGTGAGATTCTGGAAATGAGATCTTAATTTAACGGGAAAGGTCGGGTCGGGAAGAAAATAATTCTAAGCGGACAGCGGATGAACAGAGTGAATATATAGCGGGAGCGGGACTAAAAAAACAGACGACACAAGGTGTGTGTTTATCGAAAGATTGTTATAATATCTGCATCTGTGCAGTTCTTTGTCATAAAAACAGTTTACAAAATGTCACGGGGGAGCAATCGGTTTCCCATCAAACGTTAGGCTACTGTAAAGTTTTCGCTGTGTTCACCCCTCATCACACCACAGCTGTTTCCTCCAGCGAAAATCTAGCCCTTAACACATATGAACGCATACTTAATAAAATGATCATGTTGCTATTTTCATTTGAAAATGTAATATAAAAAAAAACATTACAGTGCATGTGGCATACCATACAGTCATTCACAGAACTGATTAAAGATAGTGACAGACAGCACTCAGTCAATTCACTCATTTTAACTAAATATCAGAGTGATTGACAGATATACAGTAGAAACATTGTGTTGTTTTGTATTAAATAATACATTTATTAGCCTTCGAGTAAGGGAAGCACAACTCGGGAAATGAGAGCATCCGAGGAGCATGTGAATGCTATGTATATTTATTTTAAATATTTCTAATGTTCTTTAATGTTATCCATTGTTTTTTTTGTGGCTCTTTTTTTTTAGGCATGGTACCGTTTTAAAAGTATCGATTTGGCACCGGTATCGTAAAAAACCCAATCGATACCCAACCCTAATTATAACAGGCACCTTCCGAGTAGAGACCTGCGCGGGACGCATCGGAGCAGAGTGCGGTGCGGGACAACACTTGATGGGCGGGTAGAGACTCATGTGTGCGGGATGCGGGAGAATAAGGGTGTACTCTCACTAGGCAATCTTAACCGTGCCCGAGCGCGTTTGACCCCCAAAACCTGGTTCGTTTGAGTAGTGTGATCGGTCTCGGTTCGTTTAGCCGTCCCTGGCTCTGTTGGAAGAGGTGGGCCAGAGCACGGTTCGTGTAAAGACACGATCGCAGACTTATAAGTGCATTACCGACACCTATCTCTCAAATGGACCATTGACACTCCTAATTCAGATCGTAGGCTCTGGACTCGGAGCATAACTTGTTTTTCTGTAACAAACTATAAAATATTTTCTATAAAAACATTAATGCCCTGGCAGTGGCAAATAGCTTTGGTTTTATATTTATTCAAATGTTTAGTCATTGCCCAGCACTAAAATATATATATATCTATCTTTTACTTATTTGAACAATGCCTGAAACTTGGTAACGAGCACTTCCTGTGTCTGTTTGCCTCTTTAAGAAGAATCGCTTTATGTATTCCCCAGTTGTAAGTTGCTTTTGATAGAAGCATCTGCAAAATGACAATGTAAATATATCTATTTTATACAGTTCAAAACCAATTACCTCACTCACATGTGTTCTTCTCCTTATCTTTCTTCCCTGCTCAGCCTTAGTCTCTAGCTACAATTACGTTCCCTATCCTCTTAATTTTTTTTTTTTTTAATAAGTCTCATACAGTGGAGAGGCTGGTACATGTCTAGTGTGTTTACACCGTTTTCTCAGTTCTGGTGCCAAACTCTGTTGTAACTTGTCTCAGTTGTCATAGTGCTTCCACCAAAATATACGGCATCGCCATAAAATGATACTATAGAAACAGGGTATTTAAGGAGAATATTGAGGTTGCAATAGTTCTGTATTGTTTAGGAACAATCCTTAGTGTCTGACAGTCCCTGTCATTTACTTTCAGTTTTTGCCCACTACTATTCTTTGCTGAAGTCTTGTCATCCTTTGC